AGGCCTCCTCCCGCCGCGTCGCAACACAATAACAACAACAACCAACCGGTGGACCCACAGAGACCCAATCAATATCTCTCCTCTCGCTTCCTCCGCCGAAAGCTAGCAGCAGCAGTAGTATAGGGCACACCCTGCTCCCGTCCCGCTCTCGCTGTGTGGTGTGTGCAACACACGCTGGTTGGTGGGACTCCCTCTCTCTCCAGAGAAAAAAAGGCGAAAAAAAGGCCGGCAGCGTTGAACAACAACAAACAACGGAAACAACAACAACAACATCATCAGCGATGAACCCCAGACCAACCAAACGTTCCCCGCTTCCTCCGCCGTCGCTAACAGCAGTATGTGTGTGTGTCCCGCCCCCCTTGTCCATGTTCTCTGTCTGTAGTGTGTGCGTGCTTGCCAGTAGCAGCAGCAGTGTGTGCAGCACGGCAGTGCGTCGTGGTTTCTTGCGTGCGTGTAGTTTGTTGCCCAAAAAACAAAAATGACGCCTCCCGGCCGAGAAGTCGGGGATGCGTCCGTGTGACATAGAGTATATATTTGCACAAACGGTGTGCTATCTCGAGACACCGACCACGGATTGCAAATGTAGCGGTTGGGACAGCTCGGGCAAAATATTACTTGTGCGCAAGTTTTAGTTTGCAATTTGGTGCCGAGATGGTGAAATGGGCTCGAGTCTGCTGGGTATTTAGGGCGCGCAGACAGACAGACAGACAGACAGACAGACAGACAGACAGACAGACAGATAGACATCAGACAGCCATTGCGTCTTTTTCACGCCCCTGGGCATGAAAATTATTCTTTTTCTCGTGCGCACATACATCCACACACGATCCCTCTAAACAGTTTTTTTTTTTGCAAAACAAAAAGCGTGCCCCTATACGGGCCACTCTTTTCGCAAAAAAAAAACTATTATTAAGATTGGATGGAAATTTATTCCGTACCTCTGCCCGAGCTCCTCACACCCACCCGCGCTAAACATTGAGTGTCGTGCGTACCGGACATGAAAACCGGACTGCTGTATACCGTAAGGTTGCGGGTTAGCGCACTGTCCGGAGTCGTCGCACAGGGGTGCGATGAAAATTAAATGGCATAATAGATTAATTCGATTTCCGCACAGGGTTCGACGTTACCGCACAGGGGTGCGATGACTCGCAACCTACAGTAGGGTAGTAGTGGAGTGCGAGCGATTTCGGGGCAACTTCACCAGTGCAATTATGCCAGTGCTGGCCATACCAACTTTCACCCCTGCAACCATCCCAGTGCTGGCCATGGCAACTTTCACCTCTGCAACCATGCCATTGCTGGCCAATGGCAACTTTCACCCCTGCAACCATCCCAGTGCTGGCCATGGCAACTTTCACCTCTGCAACCATGCCATTGCTGGCCAATGGCAACTTTCACCCCTGCAACCATCCCAGTGCTGGCCATGGCAACTTTCACCTCTGCAACCATGCCATTGCTGGCCAATGGCAACTTTCACCCCTGCAACCATGCCATTACTGCCATGTAGCTCTGCTGTATGGGTAGGTAGGTCATCGTCGCATAGTGTGACGGAAATGAAACACATTGGTATTTCCATGGGATCGGTAAACTTACGCATTGTCGATTCAACCAAAACACCAGAAGAAAAAGAGCAGCCATCAGCCAAAACAACTAACAGCAGGATGTACCATGGAACGGCACCATGGAACAGCAGCACTATTGTACCTTTGTTCTACGGAGTACTTTTTTCGCTACGAAATAAAACTCAACCCCATCACTACCAGAAACACCGAACAGCGCCAACCTCCGTACTGCTGGAATTCACACACAAGCATGTTCGGGCAGCCAACCTGCCACTACTGGTACAACACAAGAGAGCGCGAGCCATCATCCTCCCCCGCAGCCCCAACCCATGGCCCATCCAACAGCTCTACATCGCTGTCGCCGTCTATGATCTCCACTTCATCGTCACTGTCCCCCTCGGGAGGCAGCAAATCCGCGGTGACCTCCTTGTCTGCAGTCGCGATCGGGTTGGCGCCAGATGCAGATGACACCTTGGGTAGCTGGAGCGGCGGGAGAGTCACGCCGGGGTGTTGTGCCTCCCACCCGGCGCGCTGCTGGACTAGAACCTCACGGTAGCCTTCACCGAAGTTGTGGGTGCACCACGCGTCGTCCTCGCTACCGTCGAGCGCAAGCGTGAGGCCGCACACCTTAAAGCACATCTTGACCGTTTCGGGGGTGATAGCTGCCCATGACTCCTTGTACCACGTCGACACGAGCCCACGCCCCGGCGGTCGAAGCTTGCCCGTCTTGGGGTCTGCGATCGCCGACGCCATGTACTGTGTGTACCGCCCCCGCATCAGTCGCTTCCTCTCTTTGTGCAGCATGCGATCCAGCGGCTGAAGAAGAGGAGTCAACCCGCCCGGGATGAGGATGACGGTGGTGTTTATCCTCCTCCGGAGGTCCTCGATGAAGGATTCGCTACGGTGGCACCTGAAGTCGTCCAACACCAAGATGCTGTGCCGCTGCTTGATGACGCTCCCGTGGTTAGACCGAAACCTCCAGCTTTCGGACAGCCACAGGGTGCACTCGCGCGCGTCGCACCAGCTTTTCTCCTGCACGCCGAAAGACATGCCGGACACAGGGTACCCGAACTTGGTGCGGTTGGCAGGAAGGACCTCGGCCGCAATGGAGCCCTTGCGGGGCTGAGTGTTATTTCCCCGCCCCGCCGTGCTAGGCGGGATGAGTGGCTTGCCCTTGAAAATGATTCGCAGGGGAACCATGCCACCGTCCGCCATGACACCAAGACATAGCGTGAAACGTTCTTTCTCTTTTCCTGCGGGGAAGAGAGGGGAAGCAAGTGTACGGCGGGGAGAGGGGGAAGCTTTCGATGTTCCGCGACTCGAGCTTGAGGCTGGTGTAGTACACTTCGACAGCACGAATCAAGGAACCACACAAGCACGCGAATGCAATACGAGCGCAAAAGCGATGTACAGTAACATCCGCAGGGGGAAAGGTGGGGCACGAAAACAAACATACCAGGTATGTATATTGAAAAATGCTGTGCGATCCCGGCTGATACATAATATGTTCACCAAAGAGGAAAAAAAAACAATTAAGACCCATCGACTGGTGCCAGCAGAGACGGGACAAACACACACACATAGCGCGGGCGATGCTAAAAAATATAGACAAACACAGGCATTGGTAAGGCACATGCAGTAATTGGTATGGCTATTTATAGGTGAAGTGTCACCTCCCGTGCTGATGCGAGCATCCTTCGCACCGCGCTTCTCCAGAGTTGTCCCACCGGCATCTCCCGCTGGACTGGCGTTTGGTCCATGTTGCCGAGTTCTTCGAACACTTCCGTGGCAACCGACTCTAGCTGCGCGGGCTCTCGCCAGATGCAGGTGAGTTGCCCCGAGCGTAGATCTCACCAGCGCGCTCCAAGAGGGCCGTGCGAAGCTTCATCAACGTCGCGAACACCAAACCCTCGTACCCCGTCGGTAGCTTTTGTCCCATGCTGCTGCGCCGGCGGATGCTGAAACCGCGCCGTTCGCGGAAACGATGGTACCAGTTCTTGAACTTGGTCCTGAAAGCCAATGTCTCCTCCGCCGACGCAGCGGCTGTCAACCCGCCGAGAGCGTCAGGCTTCCGCTCAAGCAGCTTGTTCATGACTTCCATGCTTCCGCAGCCGCGATGTTCCCTACGCTGCTCATTGATGTAGTCCTCCAGGTCTTGTTCGACCTCGGCTGTCGTAGGTGCCATGCCAGCGTGAATCGATTTTGCCTTCGATAGTTGAGACTTCTCCTTCACCAGCTTCTTCATTGTTGCCTCCTCGCCGACCTAGGTGATGATGCGCCTGCGATCCACCCCGAGAACCTTCGCCGCTCCGGAATTTCCCACTGGTTGAAAATCCTCGCAAAGGACTCGCGTGAATGCGGTTGCTTTCAGTTTGAATCTCATGGGGTAGCTCCCTTTCTTGCCTCCGGTCCTCTCGTTGGCGAAGTCAGGCTCGGGGTATTTGCGCTTTTTGTGGTGTAATGGTGTGGGGTCGTTTGCCGCAAGCATCTCGTCGATGGCCTCTCCTGCTGCCAACGGGTCCGCAGGGGAAGCTACCGCGTCCGCAGAGGAAGGACCGCCACCACTAGCCCCTGAGATCGCGGCACCGCCCGTCCTTGATACCTCCGACATGATTGCCAAGCGATTGTGGGTTGCGTGTGCTGCTGTTGTAGGCACGGCACAACTCGACGGAGGGCAATTACCTATGTTTTCCGCCCGCGGCATTTTATATTTCGCCGCGTTTTATTCGGCCGCTTTTTGGTGTGTGTGTGTGTGTGTTGTGTTCTTTCTCCAAAACTTAGCATCCATCGGGCTAGCTACTGTGGTTGGCTGACGTGCGCGCGTGTGTGTACGTTGCGTGTGGAGCCTGCAACCGCAGCACAACTGAGGTGTCCGTGCGTCTGTTTTCGTTCAAGTACCGCACATGCTGGAGTTATCGCACAGGGGTGTGCGTTAAAATTCTTGATATTATTGCCTCCAGGGTTGACTCAGGACCGCACTTACCGGAGTTGTCGCACAGGGGTGTGCGTTGAAATTCTTGATCATATCGCCTCCAGGGTTTACACAGGACCGCACATACTGGAGTAATCGCACAGGGGTGTGCGTTATGTATCAAACTCAATGATTTAGTTCAATTTCCGCACAGGTTGTGGAGTCATCGCACGGTCCGGAGTCATCGCAACCCTGTGCGATGAAAATTAAATAGCGAAAATGTTTGAAGAACGATCGCACGGGGGTGTGCTAACCCGCAACCTTACGGTACCGCACATACTGGAGTTATCGCACAGGGGTGTGCGTTGAAGTTCTCGATAATATCTCCTCTAGGATTTACCCAGGACCGCACATACTGGAGTAATCGCACAGGGGTGTGCGTTATGTATCAAACCCAATGATTTAGTTCAATTTCCACACAGGGTGTGGAGTCATCGCACGGTCCGGAGTCATGGCAACCCTGTGCGATGAAAATTAAATAGCGAAAATGTTTAAAAATCGATCGCACGGGGGTGTGCTAACCCGCAACCTTGCGGTAGTCTATTGTGTTTGTTTTCGAAGTACTTCGTATTTATTATGGCGACAGTCCCCCCATTTTTCCGTGGGGTGAGACGTGTACTACACTCTTTGAGCGTATGTAGAGAACTACACTGTTCAGTGTATTTTTTCGTACTACAACCATCCAGGGTCACACAGGACGGGTTAAACGCCAGGGCCTTTTCTTCTTTTTTATTTATTTTCATGTCCTACCTTCGTCCTGCGGTGCGTGCTGAATATTTATTTTTATTGCGAGAAGGGTCTAGCCGTCCCTTTCCCTCGTCAATGGTGCTAACGTCGAAGTTTGGTACTCACGAGAGCTTTTCAGCTATATTTCGCGTTCACCCGCAGAGATTTGCAAATTTTTCAGCCCATGGGGAGCAGAACTCACGACCTCTGCGACTAGCGGTTTACAAGGACACCACTAGACCACCGGGGCGACCGGGTGCATACTACACTTCGAAATACATGTTGCCATGAGGAGTTGTTCGGGTAACTCAACGGCGAAATGAACACGGGGCCACATGCACGCGGCAAACATAAGTAACTCAGGTCGAGCTGATTCGCGCAGCAGCTTGCGTCGTTGTGCGTATATATGCGTTTTTTGGAGTATTCGTGCGGTGCTAACCTTGCGTCCTGTCTGTCTGTGCGCGATGGCAACACCTTCAAGCTTCAACCACTGTCAACCGTTCTCAACTTCTAGAACGTCTCTTTTCTTCTCGTCCTGTTCCCCCACCGCTCTGTTTCTCCCTTCCCCCCTACCTCTCCAAGGCAAACCATAACTCTACTACCTCCCCCACCCTCGTGTCTGGTTCTCTCCGCATCGCGTGGACACATTATTTTTCCGAGAAGTGTGCCGGTCTCAGATCTGTGGTCTCAGATCTGTCTCTGCTGTCATGCAGCCGCGCTCCACCTGCTGATCGAGGGCCATATCTTGGGTGGTACATTTTCGTGACCTATGGATGATGAATCTAAAGAAACCGTCCCCACGCCACGGGGTGCAACCGCCATCTACCAGATACAAATATTGGGAGCTATATGAGAACGCCCGACCGCATTGCAACAATACTGATCATATGTACAAGCATCAGTAACGGTACGTCACCCTCAGGGAATTGCAATTTGTTCAGCTCGCTCGATGTACTCCCCCCCCCCCCCCCCCNNCCCCCCCCCCCCCCGCAAATTGACATGCATGTGCTTGCGAGCGTGAGGTAAAGGCTTACGTGAAGGCGCCAACCTCGGCTTCTTCGGACGTGTTTTCCGCAGGTTGTGTACGCTGGCAGTGAGAAAGAAAAACGTGAAATTGAAAAATGGCAGACTTCAACGACAGCGAAGCCAGCATGAGCCCGAAGTCTACTGGCGAGGTAAGATGACCTGGTTAGCGGTCCGCAAAGTGTGTTCTGTTTCCCTAAATGCAGCAGGCCCTCCGGACTTGACTCGGCACCCGCACTCACACTCCGCCATGTCGGTTTTGTAATTTATTTTTATCATGATGCCTCCTTGCCTCTTTTGCGGCGCGGACACGCCTCGCAGGCTCTCTCGAGCTTCAAGCACGGCGTGATGCTTCCTGGGGCCATTCTCAACAACAGCAGCGTGCTCAACGACGAGGAGGTAATGAAGCCTGCCATTTCCACCCAACAGCTCGTCGCCAACACGTGTCAACGACTCATGCTTGACGGAATCTGGCGAGCCTATCTGGGCATGTTCGTAGCGGCATGAACACTCACGGCCCGGGCGCCCAGAAAGAACTGCTCAGATTTGACAGTTCAGAAATTGACTGGTGGGTATGACGCAAATCGGCCAATCATGAGCTTTTTTCTCTTCCACACTACTGAAGCGAACAGCCACCTCATACACACCCTGTTCTTTTCATTGCCACGCAGTGCGGGCTAGCGACTATGCTGTGCGAGCAGCACCAGGCGCACCTGATGGATGGGTGGCCCATGCCCGGGACCGACGACGACAAGAAGCACGCGTTTTTCAAACAGGTGAGAGCATGTAGAGTCCTTGTTGGGCGTGTGAAGCACACGAGGAGTTACAGCCAAAGGGAACTTCTTCCATGCTTCCATTCAGTAGGCTAGTTGCTTTCCAATCATATCTGTTTTCCCAATATTCACGGATTTCCCATCTCGACGCGATTGATTTGCCACCATTTCTATCTCCAACCCCCCAAGCAAGACCTACCCAACCCCGCACGGTGACACTTGGCAACCCAACTGACAGGTGCAAACTCTTCACGACACGTACCCTGTCCAAGGTGGACTGGCGACGTACATAGAGAGGGCCAAGGACCTCCTCACAGCCTCTCAGGTATGTTTGTCAATCGATGATCTTCTCGCCTGGCTATCTAAGGGTGATTGGGTTCCTCCCATCCTCCTGATCCTTTGTCGAGGACTATCGCCCCAGGCTGTGAGATTTCTCTTGTCGTCTTTAAGCCTTGGGGGAGACTGATTTTCTTTCCGTTGTTACTGGCATGCCCATAGGCACGCTATTCCTTCGGCTTTTTCCGCGCTGGGGTAATGGTCGTTACCCGTGGCAAGCTCCGGTGACATGCGAAGGAACCGTGACAAATCCGATTGGGGAGGTGTACTCATAGTCGTGTATGCCGTAGTCGTTAGACCACCTTGACCTCGCATCCCTGCAAATCTGGGATGGAGCACGCCGGGTTCTCACCGAACCAGGCTCTCACATCGCCAAGCGCGAAGCGCCGTGAAGTATTCCGCGAGTCGCATGGAAGGCGCGCTGCATCCTGTTCAGGGTGTTCGGCATCTTGTTTTTGCTTCCTTGGCCTACGTATGACAGCCGCGAATGACTTCATTGGTTTTCTGTTTCTTCCAGTTCCAGAGACAGCTATTTGCACTGCGTAACTGCCTCGAGGGTGCCTGACCACTTTCACACAACGTGTTGCGATTATTCTCTTTGCACGGAGTGACCGTTCTCGACCGTTATGGTTTCCGCGAAAAACGAACAAAGGCAGGAAACAGGTAGCTCACGAAGCGATCGGCGTGTTTAACAGCGTCAGTGCCAAGCGACGAAAGCTCACCGTAGGACTGGGGGGCGAAAGTTGCAGCTGGAATCCAAACGGCAAACGCCTTTTATTATCCATCTCAGTCGTCGAAGCTCCCGAACCTTATTTTTCGGAGGGTACAGTTTTGTAAATGTGTTATGATGGTTGTCTTCACATTGCTCTAAGACACATCCTCTCTTTCGTGCACCGCATTCATGAACGGCAGGAGGGAAGGAACCCACTTTCTGGGTGGAAACCAAGCGTACCCGATGGGCAGCGACTGGAACTGGGTAGCGAGCACTACGACGCCCTTGAGAAGGAGGGGCTGGACCAGGTGTGGCGGCGCACCGCGTTAATGCAACCCCGCTGCCACGGAATGGATTGCCCTCCTGTGACAGGCATCGCTCTTAGCGTATGCTGCCCCCATTTTTTTCCGTTGCTGACTGAACTATTCGAGCTAGACGGACTACAGTCTGTGAAATCTTCCAGACCACTGTTCTGGTAAGCTTGAGCGGTGGCTTCGCATGCTCTTGAATTTCCTCATGGACTTGGAACAAGTGGGACCTGGGACGCAGGATTTCCTTCAGTGTGTCATTCGACTTCGACCCCTGTACAACGTCGGCTTCTCGCAATTCAACTCTTATCGCGCCGCCTTTGATTCCAATGTTCTTACTCGGCGAGTCCTCGTCACCCACAAGATCGCGCACGCACATGATTCTCCTGTCGCTCACGTAGGTGAAACATTGCGGGTTCGTGCTCGTGGCGGGAGGGCTGGGGGAGCGGCTGGGGTACGGGGACATCAAGCTGCGCCTTCCGAGCGAGTCGTGCACAATGACGACGTATCTGCAGCTGTACATAGGGCAGATCCTACACCTGCAGGCGAGGTAGGAGAGACGAGGCGGGCGAAGGGGGGATGGGGATGGGACGACCAAGGGGTGGTTGAGGGACGATATTCCGTCGGCAGACGCCAGTGCAAGGAGAGCCAACATATTTAAGAGGCTGAAGATACAACTGTTGAACTTCATGTGTTGGGTTTTGGTTGTTGTTGATTGGGTCACCAAGATGCTGTTACGGATGCAATGAGTGTCGATCAGGGTCGTTGTCACCTCGTTGCGTCCACTCGAACCGGATTTATGTTGAAATCGAAACAACAAGGAGTGGAACAAGCGCCCGTAATATAGTGATGAATATTAAGAACGTAACAAGGTGACTGTTGTTGTACCCGGCAACCTCAAATCGGAACACAGTCTGCATGTAGCGCTGGGGCTGGGGGGGGAAGAGCTACAGCACGGAGCAAAGCGGAATACTCGGATTCCGTGGAATGATATATTGGAATGAGATGCGTAGCTTCCTGCCACTCGTTTTATCGATGCCCCCCAGCGAACCACTTCTGTCGGAACGCCCCGTGTCTTGTATTCAGGTACGGGGACGGGAGAAAATTACCTCTGGCCATCATGGTCAGCGATGACACAAGGGACCGCACCCAAGAGATGCTCGAGCAGGGTGATTGGTTCGGAATGGAGGAAGACCAGATCACGCTGATGAAGCAGGAGAAAGTGGCAGCTATCCAGGTGGGTCGTGATATCAAGAATTCCGGAGGCCAGTGTTTCAAAAGGAAAATTTGTACCGGTTGGACAGTCAGAGTGTTGGCGGTGCCTTTTCAGTGAGTTCCCTTGCACATTGAACAGCCAAAACCTACAATTCTCAACATCCTCTCAGATGCATGACTGTAGTGAACTATGTTGCGATACCCTTTGGTTCGCACTGGACGATTCAATCCGAGGTGGCGACGCCACCAGCGACACGAAAATCAGAACTTTCCATCCTCACGGTGGGCTTTTTGTGTATTCTCTTGCGCGAACGAAGTCTTTGGACGAGAAGGTGGCGGTCGCTCCTGGTGCAACCAATGTCGTTTCTGTTGTTTTCACGATCTTCTGCCGGCGCCTGCCCTGCCATCTGCAGGATTCCACCGCGGCCCTGGCGCTCGACCCGGATGATCCGTTCACGATACTCACCAAGCCTCACGGGCATGGCGATGTGCACGCCCTGATGCACAGCAGCGGGACGGCCAGGAGGTGGAAGGAGACGGGCTGCAAATGGGTGGTCTTTATGCAGGTGAATCACCGCTGTTCTCTTGGTGGTTTCAGCCCACGAAAGGTAGTTGTGGAGTCCATGGAGGGAAGAAGGAACTCCTCAGTTGGTGATGATTCCAAACATTTCCTGATATGTCGCCCCAATCAAAGTATGTTGACAAGGTTGGTTGGGGTCATTATTTACGCGGGCTATTCACCGCTCGTAGCAACATTCACCCGCGGCGAGGATCCCGAACGGCTCATTCATGTTGACGCGTAACCCCCTCCTGCATACAACCCGCAATGGTGACAAGGACACAAACGGCCTTGCACTTCACACGCTGGCGCCCGTCTTGGGCGTGAGTAAATCCATGGAGCTGGAGGTGAACAGCATGGCGGTGCCGCGCAAAGCCAAGCAGGCGGTGGGGGGCATTGCCAAGCTCACCCATGACGACGGCCGTCAGATGACGGTGAGTGCATGGGGATGCACCATGGACGACGAGGAATTTCCGGCCTCTCAATGGCTGAAAAATGTTTGGTAGACAAGTGATGCGTCAGGAATGGTCCTATGCAGGGGGGAAGGTGAGGTGCGCCATCGCTGATGCCACGTTTTGTCGTAGTATGTGGAGCCTCGGGACTAGAATAGCACTTCCGATGAAGGTTTTTTCCGATTAGGAAGGCGTTCCACCAAGCTCGAAAACCCGTGGTGCCATCGATTGGCGATTGCGTGATTTGAAGCTGAATAATGGTGGAGAGTCTCGTTTTGGGGCCTTGCACCAGCTTGTGCGGTGACATGTTCAATGCTCTTGAGAGGGGTGCGCCACATCCGATACTTTTGTCGCTGATACTTCACCCATATATTTTCCTGGAAAGTTTCACTCGCTGGCCATTCTAATCCCCATATTTTGCGACTGCCGTCTCTGCGGAACCCCTCTAAGTTGAACGTGGAGTACAACCAGCTTGATCCGCTGCTTCGTGAAGGGGACGGTGCCGGAGACGTGAACGAACCCGATACTGGTTTCAGCGCCTACCCGGGCAATATCAACCAACTTGTTTTCGCCCTCGACCCCTACAGCAAGGTGCGGTTCCGAGCGTTTTTCGGAGAACGCAGCGAAGTTGGACCGTAGTATTTCACATACGCGACTGTAGACATGCAATGAGATGTTGCAACTGCCACGTGACGAGCCCTTGTGCGTGGAGCTGTAAATTTTGGTGATGACTCCGTAATTCTGGACACGATACTGCCTCAATTGTAACGTCCGTCGAATCGCTTGGCGTGGGATTCGGATAACACCCAACCATCGTTTTCTTCGTTTTTTCATGTATGTCATAGCGACGCGTTCACGACGTTTTCGGTTGCTAGCTCGACCGAAAGCTTCATGTACTCCATGACATAGATGACCAGCACTGGCTGTTGTTCGACGACGACGTAACAAGAATATTCCAGAAACGTTGCGAACGGTGCGCTCTGAGCGTATCACGTGCGCTCCTTCCAGCTAGGCAGGACCGCTTCTGCGCCCGTAGTTCCCTTTCGAATCTAGTCTCCTTTGTGTCAGTTCCCATTTCCTTTCAAGTTCATCCTGTTCGCCACGCAAGTCGGAGTGAGTAAAACCCTTGTGGTACCACATTTTCGTGGATGACTTCGAGGCTTCGTGTCCCGATCCTTGCCCGAGAGGACCGTGGACCCTGTACATGTCAGCCCCATGTGAAATGGGCGTAAGAAGCCCGCTTGTCAAGCACGTGCACCACTTCTCTGTATCTGAGAATGCTGCGGTCTTTTTTATTGGGTAGACGTCTGAAAGGTTAGTGGATGTGGAGCCTGCTCGAATATCGGTCAAGTACGTAGATCACCGTGCACTTGATACGACCGATGACAAATCTCTTGTTTCGCGAATTACGTACAGCTGTTCATATCGGTATGAACTCACGTAATGTTGGTGCAGCGTTCCTTATTTGGGCTCTTAGGGGCGAGGTATCGACCCTTCTGTATTTCAGTGTCCGTGCTCCAGCCAGCCTCGGCTGCTCGATACACGAACGTGAGTGGATGTGCTTGTTCGCCTCGACGTTTTTTGCCAGCCATTCAATCTCAACCCCCCAAACAAGACTTCATTGACCGTACCCGGACCTGATCCTTCCATCTCTTGTGGGTGATTGACGTTCTGTTCCTGACCTCTTCTGTGTTTTCTCCCCACCACCACACCAACTGCAACCCGACAGGTTTTGGAAGAGACGCGCGGCATGCTCGACGAGTTTGTGAACCCCAAGGTGCGCTTTTTTCACATTCGCTCTTGCTTCCGGTGGAGCGTACTCATCACCCCTGTCTTGGTTAAGAGTCTAATTTGTTGTTCATATCCTTTCCCGAATTTTTCGTTGAGAATGTTAGTGCCTTCCTCCACAATGTTTTTTGTCTCGCTTACACGTTTTGTTCCCTTATGTGTATTCGCAGTATGCTGACGAAGACAAGATGGCTTTCAAGAAGCCCACCCGCCTGGAGTGCATGATGCAGGTGAGCGCAAAATTGTGTACGTGCTGGGTGTCATTGCAGTTAACGATTGGAACTGAGTTTCTGCTGGGGCGACGTGCGGCGGGTGCAAAGCTGGCGAGAGTTGAACCTGTCCGTGTTTGTTACGAACCTTCGGTGCAGATGACGTTTGTGAGTAGAAAACGCGTTGTTCGACCCCAGTATGACGAGCCTGAGTGAAGTTCGAAGGGAAAAATTATATGACCGCAAATGAGAAGGTGTCCAAGCTTGGTCATTAGCGAGTTTGTTGCCTGGCTAGGCGGGTGTCGCCGAAGGCCCCGTTGGATGGGGTGATCGTTTCTAATGCTATCAATAGCGTGGTGGTAAGGAGACGCAGAGGTGGGAAATGTGTTTCGCAATACGGAGATCTCAAGGCGACCATCATGCTGGAACATGACTTGGGTTGCGTGGCACGGAACCCACTGAAGGTTGCTGGAATGTCCCACAAAGAGGAAAAGATGGGGAGCCTCAGCCGGTGTTGTTTTTTGGGATGTGAAGTAGATGGAGGAGTTTTCTTGTGTTTATGTTGACGTTTATTCTGCTCAAGTGTTTTGGAATGTACTCGGGTCGTTGGAGATAATACTTCAGCCTGCTCAGCGAGACTTTGCTCCCCTCGGAGTCAGGCAGATTAGGGAGGTCCCGGATTGCCAGCGCGAAGAGATGGCGCCTTGCTCAGATTGCTAGCAGGAGGAGATGATGCCGTGCTCAGATTGCGAGCAGGAAAAGATAGCGCCCTGCTCATTCGTGATTCGCAGATAGTGAGCAGCGTGGGGTTGGGGTTGCATATCGCCAGTTCCGGCAGGATCGTCCAAGAATCATTTGGCCCACAAGTCTAGTGGGGGAGTGCCTTCGTATCCTCAACCATTAGTTGTCGAGCAACAGTTCAAATAACCTTGGATGGACTGTTTTTTAGAATCCCGAGTGCCGGAACCCACGACAGCAGAGGAAAAGAGTACCTTTGCAATTCGCGCTCGACGTGACAGCAACCTTTGAGATGCACACATCGGACCACCTCACAACGGTGGGCGGTGTGCCATGCAGAGTCGTTGGAAGTAGGAGACTATTTTGGGGGGGGTAGAACGGAAGGAATTTACCATCGAGGACGCCAACCACGGCATTGTCGGTCGTGTCAAGAGACGCGGTGAATGTCGATGTATCTGCAGAGAAAGATATGTTGAAAGACGTGGACGAAGCAAAGTGATATGAGCGATTCAAAACCATCCGACCAATAAAACAAGGCGTGGCCTCAGGAGGGAAACATAATCGGGAAATTTTGGGGCGCGCAGAAGACATCAAGGGGCAAGTCCTGTACTGACAATGAGGGTAGGAAATGAAGACCTTCTCTAGATGCGTTGGCACCACGGTCCAGTGCCAGGACGCCGCAGCGCACGGCAGCAGGGTATGGTCAAGACAACCAGACCATGATTTGGAGGCACGTAGTGAGAATCATGTATGGCGACCGGCTGCGGAAGAACTCAACCAAACCTGTGCAGGGGGACTCTGCTGGTGACTGGAGAAATTGGGGCCTGAATGCAGAATGTTAGCGGCGAGGTTGTCTCCGAGGGGGTCACATCATGTCGGTCACCCCATCTCGGGGAAAATCCTGACGCCGGACCAGGACCAGGCACCTCTCTTCATCGTTCACTTCTTGGAAACTCAGCGGAAGGCACCACCGGCTACGATCGCAAAGGTGAACAGCAATTGGCATGAGGCGGGAGAGAGAGCCTTCAAAGAAAGGTATTCCGCATTCTGTGGCACCGCGGTCAAATCTGAGGACTCCAGAGGGCGCGCTGCAGAGCATGCTCACCAACTTGACCAGGGTAGTGAGGCACTTAATCAGAATCATTTGGCACGACTGGCAGTGGAACCCATCAATACCTGGGAACAGGGATTCTGCTGGTGCTTAGAGAATCTAATGTATTGACACCACGGTCACATGTCAGGAGAGCGCCTCGGGGTATGCATACAAGCACAAGACCAAGATGTTTGAGGCACGTAACAGGAACCATGTGGCACGGCTGGCTATGGAAGAACCCAACAAACTTGCGAAGAAGGATTCTGCTGGTAATTGGAGAACTTGGGGCCTGAAAGAAGAATGCAGGCGGCGGGAGTTTCTCGAAAGGGTCCCCAGCGTTTCAGTCACTCCAGTTTGAGGGCGATGCTGACGACGGATCAGGAATAGTTCACTCAGCGGAGGACGGGGCCGGCTACAATCGCGAGGAAGTGAACGGGATCAGGCGGGACAATAAGAGAGAGGCACTCCAGACGGTCGAGTTCAGGATGCGCTTTGATAAATGAGAAAAAATCTCCGCTTCGCGTGGGAGGTTTTACCTGGGAGGTTGTTTCGACGGTGGCGTCGGGTGAAGCCCCTTCCGACATGAGATAGCTCATGCTCCACGTCTTCAAAGTTCTGTGGACCAATGGCATACCGCGACGTCATGAACATATTTCTGATCGAATGAATGTCATCACGGAGTACTCCTCGAACGCACTCTAGCGGGGTTCACACATGTCGACGAATGCGTCACGAAAGTCGACTACCCATCCAGAGTACCACGGAAGTATGGCGCCGAAGGAGACACGGTGCTCCATGATGATGTTTGGATCCGTTGCTGATCGTCAGTCGAAGCTTGGACTTCTTGGGATTAGGTGGCGGATGCTTGCCTTCTTGGCAGCAAGCTCTCTTTCACTGTGGAGATAGCGAGTTACGCGTGGGATCAGGGCGACATTCCCGCTTTCTGCGTGTTTCCAGACTCATCGTCAACGACGGTAGACGGCGTATGTGTTGATAGAGTTTTCCAGGAGTACCACCCACCGGAAGCACCGGAACTTCGGTTCCGGGCATAGTTCCTGCCGAGGACAGTCGACGAGGTGAGGATGCGACATATACTCAAGCTCCGATGTGCTGATGCGTCGATGGGAATGACGGCGAACGGTGCGAGTATTTGGAGGTTTGCGCTCGCATCTCCGAGTGGAAAGTTGTGACCCCTCCTGCTACGCATGCCGACGCCGATGAAGATCCGAGGAGTGCATTCCTCGACAGGGAATACAGCTACCGAACCGGCACTGGCTGTCCATGAAGCGAATATCGAATAGGCTTTCGTGGTGGAAAGGTGCAAGCGGTTGGGTACAGGTGTCTGGTGGTCGGAATATGGGCGTTCATGGATCGGAACGCATGATGCAGGGGTGCATCGATATCGGACTGCCTTCCTGCGGTATTCGCTTCTTGAGGAGGTGGCATGTATCAAGACCGACGACGATGGCGGTGGCGGTTATGTAGTGCGCAGGCTTCCTCTTGGAGCTGAAATCAACGACACCGCACAAGATGGAACTCTCTGGACCGTGCGGTGGATTTGATGGCTGGAAGGGATTGGTTGCAAGCAGGACGCAAGCATTCCATTCAAAGCAATCCCGATGTGGGCAGGGCCCTCCGAGACTACCATGGCATCAAGCGTTTGCCGAGAGAGACAGGTATTGCATATATTCGCCACCGCTGCAAGGCAGAGAGACCTGGATACAAGATGGTTCATCTGGCGTTTACATCCAACGTTTCGTGGATTTTGAGGCGGATGTGGGCTACTGCAATGTCGTGATGGTTGGTACTGAGTCGGAGTGATCAAGGCGAAATGGGATGGGAAGATTATGTCTTGTTAACAAGGCGGCAGTCTAGGTGGTGTGGGAATACAACACATATCGTGGAAATGCCGCACCTGGCTAGCGGCGCACGCTAATTCTTCACTCGCTCCTTGACCAGCCCTGGATTTGCGGGGCAGCTCGAGAAAGAACTTGGATGGCCATTTGCCAGTGATCTTTGGCTTTTGAGAGTCTTGTTGCCGAACTCTACGAACATGTATTCAGCCGAGCCATGGAGAATGCCTTAAAAAATTCAAATTCTAGTGGTTCGGCTACTCACGTTTCTCACTGGAAATCCATCCGATTTTCGGTGCACATTGGCGGCAGAGATCATGTCAGGACCGAAGAATGGGGACTCAGATGGTAGATATTTCTAGAATATTGTTGGCCCTGTGTTGGAGTGATGGAAATTGATGTGCGTGTGTGTTTCGAGGTTGGTTGTGGGCGTGACCAAAATAAATTGGAACTGGATGCCTGGTGGAAATTCCCTTTTCGCGGTTTGCTCTTGGCTAGTCGGATATTCGCTCTCATCATGTCACGTTGGAAGTAGGTCTGGTTCAGTGGGTGGTGTAACTGCTCTGCGCTTTCTGGGTGGGTATTGCCGTAGTCGATATGCGATGCAGTGCAAAACTGCTGAATTTACATCCAACCCGCAGAACGATGACTAGTCGTGCGACGTACAACATTTCTTCGTTTGCGCAGCAAGCTTCATGAGGCATTCCATCTGTCATACATACTTCATTGTTTTTCGTTCCGCGTCGGTGACTGTACCAGGATTACCCCAAGTCGTTAGGGTCACGCGCCAAGGTGGGGTTCACCAGCGTTGACCCTTGGTTGTGCTTCTCTCCCTGCAAGAACAACATCGCCGACGCTGCAAAGGCTCAGGTATCGTGTTGGGTCATGTTAAGGACCAATCCCATTCGAGTTTCACTCCACCATGCACCAATCGCGAGCCGATCTACAAACACAAATCGAGGTTTCATACCTTCAAGGGGGAATCTCTCACGAACTTCACCCAACTTCTCTTCGGGATGATCCGCCGTGCGAACTCTCGTGTTGAACGGTGAAATCGGCCTAGGTAGACGATGCATCTCCTCCAGTGTGGTATGAAAAATGGGTTTCTGACATTTCATCCTGCTACCATAGTGTCTACTTTCTAGCACTCAAGGTTCATTCGATGCTTGTTTCAAGTACAGTTGTCACTACACCGTCATGTGTGTACATGTACAGTTCCTTCAACCGCCGCACCTGAACAGCGGAAGATCTTGCCTTCTAGGCTACCGAACAGAGTGAACCACGTTGTTTTTCTGTCAACCGGTCCGAAGTATTGACCTGTTAGTAGGCCTCCAAACTGGTGCAACGGATCGTTTGTTTGCGCGACACCCACCACCTCCTCAAGCGTTGGAACAGGACCTCGCCCTGATGAAGACTCGCGGTGGTTTGTGTTGACACCCATGGCGAGAGCCAAATACCCCCACTCCTTTCTAATGCGCAAGTACCGCCCTCCACCACTCTGAATTTGTCGTATCCCGAAGGCGAGTGGAACGCCTCCGGCTGCGGCGGTGTCCGCGGAGTCTGACCAGTACTGGGTGTGGGCAGAGATGATGCGAAGGGCGGGCTGCAAGGTGGATCACGGGGCAGAGCAGGTGAGAGCGACGTCGTAGTTGCTTTGCCGAGATGCTCGTCGAAGGTCTTCGATGTTGCGTTGGACCAGTAACACACCAAAACCCAACCATCACTGCCGTCCCTTTGCCGGTGATGAACCGCATCTGTTGTCCCTCCTCCAGCCGCACTGCCCGCGTGATATGCGGTACACATATGCAGCTTTCATGTAGTGCATTGGCGTTGTTACCCTTTTTCCTCAGGACTGGGCCGGCGTCAAGGCGGTGCTGGGTCCGCAGATAGTTTTCAGCCCGGCCTTCGCGGTTTTCTACACAGAGCTTCAGGGGAGGTTTTCCAAACCGTCGGCAGTGTCGGTATCCGCTACATCGACCCTCCTGGTGACTGGTGGTGGCGAAGTCGTCATAGAGGAGCTTGTCCTTGACGGCGCCCTGGAAATCGAGGTGCGACAACTGTCTTTGTTGCATTTTCTGTATTGCCGAGGATAGAGATGTCTGCTCTGTCGATGGTGCCCCTTCGTCGTTTGAGCGTCGAGGTCTCGTCCTGCTGCGTGTCCGACGTATGCCGGATTGAAGTGCACATGAAAGCTGGACGGTGGAGTGAAGAGGTGGCCAAATAGTTGCTGGTGCGACAACGCTCTGAGGGGCGGGTGCTCCACAACGCTCTTCCAATCCAGGCGGAGTTTAAGATGCCTAACTTTGACGGTGTGTTGAGCATGTGCACATTCCGCGTTCACGTTGTTTAATAAACGACGAATATAATGCGAAACAAGTGGTGCGCAGAGTATTTCACAACCATCTAAACCACGAGATCTACTCCTAGGTTCAAGCGGGAGCGTCATTGGTAATCCAGAGACTTACCGTGAAGAACGACGGGTGGGTACCGATTCCGTTGTCGGAGGCGGAAATAGCTGGTGATGAAGGGGAGGTGCCAGAGGCGATTCGCATCAGGGGATTCAGGTTGGACAAGAGGGGTTCTCACAGCATCCGCTTGGCTTCGGGAGAGAGGTGCGTTGTAGAACGACGAGAGTAGTATCACGAAACGAACGCAAAGGTTGTAGGTAGCAACCCTTGTCGTCTGTGTGGGGAATATGTGACAGTTTCATTTGGCATTCTCTTCTGCAGCCATGTGCAAAAACACAATCTTTCAACCTAGCAAACCCGTGGAGCGGATTCTGTAGTACTTTTATGCCGTGCCTCACGGTGTAAACTGCGACTCATTCGAGCTAAAATAGCCGCTGAGGAAAGGCGCGACCGCTTCGGCATTGCCTCCAAACCTGTCTTCGAGGCTTTGCTTGTGTGTGCTGGTCCTAGATACTCCCAGACGGGCGCTCAAATCACTCCATGGTAGCGCGGTAGCCCCTATTTCTAGTGAAACGTACGGGTAACATATCACACCGGTAATTTGGTGAGGATAATCGGTATTTCTCTGAGTGAACAGTGAGTAATAGCTCAACCGTCGAGAGATATCACCCACTGAACAACGTCGTCTTCCTCTATTGGACTCGCCTCCTTCCCTCCCCGGCTATGCTATCGCAGGATCGTGAATGACCGACAAAACCCCGGCGACTCTGGAGTAGCTCAATGTTGAACGCACTTCATTGGCATGGAATTCAAGGCAGCGAAGGTGCTGGTTGGGGCGTAGACTGGCCGTGAAATTCGAAAGTTGCATGTGTTGCTCGTGAGTAAAGTCGCCAGAGTGTTCATCGTGTTCTGGATGCGCTTCGTTTTGGCATGTTCGGATGTGAAACAGCTGCTGCGGAGCACTGGCGTTGCCAATCTGTTGTTTGTGTGTGAAGCGCATCGTCAGAACGACCGCTGTGAGTGACTCACTTGCTGGGCAATGGGCCAATGAGGGTCTCTTCATCCACTACAATAGCTGCCATGACACTGAAATAGCCGGGCAAACCGTTTTTTTTTTTTTTCCGAACATTGAATCGGCCCTCCTACTGTAGTTTAAGATAGTTTGTCAAGTGATGATGGGTTCGCAAAATGAGTTGCGCTGCGCACGTACGAAACCGGAAATAGGTGCAACAACGTCAAGTAGTGCTGTGCGGCGCCAAGGAGGTTTGTGCTCGCGGGTAGGAGGACCGCGAAGGTGGTTGTTATGGTACCACAGTACGAACTTGCTATGATATGGACGAGATTGGTGTGTTGCCTGTGTTTTCCAGACCACCCCACCTTGAGTTCGACTTCTAATCGGCGCCGCGGGCTCGGAATCTGCACTCCCAAGGGTTGTTTCACGGTCAAGTGAAGATCGGTCGAACGGTCGGTGGTTTCGTCGAGTGTTTGTCAAGTGTGTCGAGCGCGGAAGTGCTGCTGTGTGCACCCGCCACGATAGTTGGGAGAAGCCGATCGGTGGCACATCACGCATCGTGCATCGCGCACGTGCAACCGAAGCGCCTCAAGTTCCTGAGGGCCTCCCTGTCTGGGAAATCGCCCGAAAATGAACGGGAGGGCTGTATGTTAAGTGTCGTCAGGAGTCGAGGAACAGACTTCATGTTAGCACGGCTGCAGAAATACTTTGTGTTCTGATACACCGTCTGTGAAGCAGTGGTTGACAAAGATTCACAAGTTCAGAAAATATTGCTCACCCACTTTGTGTACTTTCCGAGTGCCCTGTGCCGCCCACGGGTTGCCCATGGGACAACGAATACATGTCGATGAGCAGCCAATGAGTATTGGCCCATGAGCTGCCCCGCGGGGAACGGACCATTGGTACGCCACTAGGCTGCTCATCGTGAGCCGAGAGTCGCTCCGGTTATGAGTGCAGCCCATGAGCCAATTGGCATTTCAACCCGAGTCACGCAGCGAATTCCACGAAAAATAATCACAAGAAACCGTTCTTGCTGGTCTCTGCTCAGCACTTTCTACCTTCCACAGCGACCCAACTGCTGCGAACGCCTGTTGTGATCGCCATTGGTAAACTACCCGGAGAGGGTGTACCATATGGTGATGTGGCAAAAAGCGAGAGAAAAGACCGATTGTCATCACTTGACACACTAGTCTATTTATCGTGTCGACGAAATGTAGCTGATGCAATGAGATGAATTTGGGTTGTTTCTCGAAGAAATATTTACGAAATTGTCTACTTTATCTAAACTGCCGCCGCTACGTTGGGCTGCTGCTGCTGTCCTTCCGTTTCTTCACGCGCTCTGTAGCTCCCACACGGTACCCGACCTGATACAACCGCTACGTGTTCTCGAGCACGAAATGACAGCAATATAGCTCTCAGAGCAATAGACTAAATTCCGAACACCGTGATCCCGAGTTTTCCAACAATTAATGAAGCCAGATTCTAATTCGACCGTTACGAAATAAACCCCGCCGGTTTGATCTTTCTGCTCGACGATTTAACCTTCATACAATACTAGAGTTGGAGGTGGAACAGTTTTTTGTGGTGGTTGCACAAAAGTACCTGCAGTACGCTCGTGCGTCTGTCACAGAAGAACGGGGGGCGGTCCATCATCACCAGCTAGAGAGGGGGGTGGTGTCCATCATCAGCTAGCGATGGGGGTGGTATCCATCGTCAGCCGTGAGGGGGAGGTCCTATCCATCGTCACCAGCTAGAGAGGGAGGGGGTGCTATCCATCGTCGTCAGGTAGAGAGGAAGAACAAAACGTTGGAAAATTCCAGGGTAGTCCTCGGGAAAATTCCCGACGTTTTTTCCCGTCGTGTAGGTCGGATACGGTACTCCGCGGAATACCGTCATNCACAGAAGAACGGGGGGCGGTCCATCATCACCAGCCAGAGAGGAGGGTGGTATCCATCATCACCAGCTAGAGAGGGGGGTGGTGTCCATCATCAGCTAGCGA